GCACAGAAGCCTTTTGCCTTTGCCCGTAGGATTTACGTCGTACAACATTATAACCAGCATAAGCTAAGGGAAGCTGACTAATCTGAGATCCTTGCAAAGGGAAAGTAGGACTTTGAGCAGTTGCTGGGGTATGAGGTTGAGAAGCAGATATTAGATTTGAGAGAAAGTGAACTCAGGGCTTCACACTTACAAGACAGGCACTCTTGTAAGTGTGAAGAAAGTACTTCTGATACCATAGCCACCTTCATCATCTCCATGAACAAAGACCAGTCTGGTTGTAACCTGAATATGTAATGTAGATGGCTAGTACTTTTTACTCCTGAATATATCCTTATGCTCTGTTTAAAATGTGGTATGTTTGCCAGGTGTTGTGGTAAATGTCTGTAATCCCAGCACTTAGCAGCTACAGCAGGAGGATCACAAGTTCAAGGTCAGCCTTGAGACCCTGTCTCAGAAAAAAAAAAAAAAAGCTATGTTATATTTAAAAATATATCTTACATTTTTCTTTATTTATTACCTATATATTCTCCTACTAATTTCACCTTGCCTACTGTTTTATGATACATTGCACAGCAACATATATAAACACATCTTGGTAATTTCAGGCAGTAAGAAAAGCCTGCTTTGCATACAGTTTCTGACACTACAGAAACTGCAGTTTGGAATTGTTAGCGGATAAACACCTCAGGAGTTTAGACACTACACCTACCTAGATACCATCCCCAAAGATTCTGATTTCACTGGCAACAGGACTCTAAATTCCCCAGGCCTTCTTTAAAAAAAAGAAACAACAAAAAAACCCTTTTTAATGTGGTAAAATAGACATAACATAAAATTTATCACTCTAACATGTATTCACAATATTGTACAATGACCACCATTTCCAGAATTTTTTTCGGTATCAACCCCATAGAAACTCTGTTCCCATTTAAACATTAACTCCATTTCTACCTCTCCAGCATCTGGTAATCTCTACTCCACTTTTTGTCTCTTTGATTTTACCTACTTGAGATACCTCATTTAGTTGGGATCTCACACTATTTTCCTTTAGGTCTGGCTTATTTCACTTAGCATAAGGCTGCTAGTGTTTGGATAGAAGAGACCAGACCTATGCTTTGTCAAAACAAAATAAACCCCTCAAAAACCTAAACTGGTAACTGTTTCTGAAGTAAAACAGGTTAAGCCCTGTGAATAACTTCTTTCTGATGAAGCAATCACCATGCTGAATGTTTCTGAAGGTTTCCCTGAAGCTGGTGAAGAATTACTACCCATTGCATCATTACTCAAGGGAACAATAAAGCCCCAGTGAGAGGAAGATGAGGAGGCAAATTCAAGTGGAAAAAGAAAGAGATGTGGACTTGACCAAGACTGGGGAGGTCTTTGCAGAGGTGATTTCCTACAACAGTCGTTGCCTGGGTCTCTTCTAAGGTACATCTCTGGAAGATTTACAACATCAAGAACATGAGAATCCTATAGGAAGTTGTTTTCCACAAGCAAAATCACAATTATTGTTTAAAGACTCCTTGAGAAATGAAGCAATTCCTTGACTTCAAATGTAGCCTGAGAACCAGCACCAATACATCTCCTATGAGCTTGCTGGCAGGACGGAATCTCAGGTCCCACTTCAGACCTACTGACTTTTAGGTGATTCCTATGCATGATGAATGAGAAGCACCAAAAAAATCCCTCTTCTAAGTCCTGGTCTGGAGTATCCTAGAAAAATTTGCTAACTTGACTTTTGAAAGTTCTATGAAAGAAGCCAGGCACAGTGGCGCACACCTCTAATCCCAGGGTTGGCTTCAGACTGTAATCCTCATATCTATGGCCTCCCATGTAGCTCAGATTACAGATACACTCCACCACACCTGGCTTATTTGTTCATGAGTCTCACTAACTTTTTTGCCCCGGCTGGCCTTGAACCACAATCCTCCCAATCTCAGTCTTCCAAGTAGCTAGGATTACAGGCATGAGCCATTTGTCCAGGCAGACATACACATTTTAAACTCTGCTATGTACTGCCCACCTGCCCTCTAGAAAATGTGCCAATTTACATTCTTATTGATAGAACACTGGAGAGCTAATTTTCCCATGCCTTGCCTATCTAGGTTTGGTTTGAAATTAAACACTCCTTTTACTACTAAATAGTGAAAGGCTTTAGGATCAATTAAAACAGAGGCATTTGGCTCAGGTTAAGAAGAAAGTATTTCAGGAAAACAAAACCAATAAAACATTAAAGGAATAACACCAGTTTCTAAATACTTAAAAAATCCCACTCAGTTGGGGGCTGGGTTTTTCATCATCCTGGTCACTCCTCCTCACCTTTTGTCATGTTTTATTTTTCAATCATCATCTACGGTGATAAGGAAAAGGAAGGAGTATATGGGGAATATGCACACTCCAGCAAAGTTCCTGTGTGTCTGTCTAATGACCGACTACCCCTCAGGTCCACCACCACACCACACTCTACTAAGTCTGTGCACAGAAATGGAAGGCAACACAGATTCCAGTGTCTTACTGCTTGCTCTTGCTTCTGTGGCTATTGGCCAATCTACAGAAAATCAGTATATGTGATGACTTAATAACTAAAACCTCAGACTATATCAACCCAACACACCAAAGGCAACACTGAAGGGAGGAACAGCAGTCACAGAGAGGAATCTACCTCAGTACTCTGAACCAGGGGCTCAGTCAGTTTTAGATGCACTGCATACCTAAAAGACAGTAGATTCTTTTCACTAGCTAGCCAGAATGGTCCCAGGGATAGAATAATAGCTACTACAAAAGTACAGTAAAAACGATTTAGATAATGCATTCCACAGAAAGGTCTATGAGTCTAATAACCAAAAGATCACAAGTTAGTGTTGTTGTTTTTTTTTTTTACAGGGGGAGCAGTACTGGAGTTTGAACTTAGGGCTTCACATTTGCTATGCAGGTGCTCTGCACCTCCAATCCATAATTTTTTTTCATTATTAATTTTTTTGATTTTATGAGACAGGCTCTTGTTAAATAGCCCAGGCTGGCCTCAAACTCTCATGATCCTGTTATCTCCAACTCCTGAATGCTGGGATTCTAGGCATACCTCACCATACCCAGTCCTAGCTTTTTACTTCAGACCAAGTTGATGGTTCAGACCTACTCAAGGGACAAGTTACCTGTCATTGTATTGAATTCAGTTTTGCCCTATCCTTAAATCATTTACTGAAAAGATACTACTTTTTGGATGCCATGTTATTTTAGGTGCTGGAAAGCTGTGCTGAACAGCAATAAAGAACAAACCCTGCTCATGAATTCTAGCTGAAGAGACAGACTTCAAGCAAAAGTTACTAAATAATTATAAAAGTTAGTAAGTTCATTTTAGGTAGCAGTAATTGCTACCAAAACAATAACATCGGGGTGTATTGGTCGGTGACTTGGAGAGAGTAGAAAGCTTTGTAAGATGGGATAATGAAGGCTTATCTCATTGCATAAGATAAAGCTAGTGACACAACGATAGCAGGACAGCATTTCAGGCAAAGGGCACAGCAAAACCAACAGTGTGGGCTTGGGGTGTTTGAGGAAGAGGGTCAGTGTGGGGTCAGTGAGGGTCAGTGACTGAGGGGATGCATAGATGAGTTTTGAAGAGGCCAGATTATATACATCTGAATTTGATTCTAGGAACAGTGGAAAGCAATGAAAGGGCTGAAACAATTAAAAAAAAAAAAATTCCTGGGGCTGGGTAGCTCAGTGGTACAGTGTAAGGCCCTGGTTTAATCCCAAAGATGGTTCCAGGGAGATTGCACTACATAGGGAGATGAGTGGCTGCTGCACTGAAGGGATGCTAAAGGCTAGGTGCTGATGGGGCCTGAGAAGAGCAATCAGATTCAGGAACATTTCAGAGGGAAACTGACACAATCTACTGAGGAATTAAATGGGGAGAGGAAGACAGGGAAATTATAAATAAAGATTACTTCCATGCTGGGACTTGAGTAATAAGAGGGGCTGCGAGCCATTAATGCATCTGGGGAGTACTGAGGGAGGAATACACTGGGAGTGAGGACAACCAAATGTTCTGTTCTAGGCATATTAGGAGCTGGATGTTTCAGTGGCTGTAAGCTGAGGTGTAAGTAGCACATAGAAGGAATGTGGAGCTCACAAGTTGAGATCACTTGGAGAGAAACTAAAACTAGAAGGTTGAAGGTTAAGGCCTAAGCCCTGAGACACACCACTAGGGATCAGATGAGTAGAGGAAGAAGAGTCAGCAGAAATGCTGAGAGGCAGCAGCTAGTGAGTGGGAGGATGCTCAGGAGAGTGTGGGGTCACGGAGACCAAGACAAGAAAATATCTGAAGAAAGAAGAAGCAATCAACCTAATTAAATACTGACAGAAGACTAAATAAGACAAACAAAGAAGACTAACAAATTGATTTAGCAAGCTAGAAGTAAGTACATTAGTAAAAAATAAGGCAGGAAAGATGCTATAAAATGATTTGATCATGCTTTAAAGCTAAAGCAAACATAAAAGGAACAATGTCAGCAAAATAACCTAAGTGTGCTGATTTCTTAGAGGAAGAGGGAGGGAATGAATGACTCAGGAGGTGTCCTTCTAAGGTTTGTGTTCTTATTCCCTACGGAGGGAAGCAGTTCTTGACAATGTGAATTTACATTGAAAGAGGAGCAACTCAGCCCAAGAGAAGAGAAACTTTTCTCATTTGACTGGGATGCATCAAACTCCTAATAGCTTACTGCTCAAACCAACCCTGAAAAAGAGTTTCTTCAGCCAACCCAGAGGCCCCAGTGAAAGGGAAGAACCACCAACAGAAGTGGGTGAGCATAGGTGCGTCCTCAGTCAGGAGCAACCTCCTGGAACTCCACATGTCTTCTCCACAGCTGCTACTGCCTAATATCACACTACATCTTGCTCTCTGGTCAGCTCACCAAGGAAACAGCTAGGAAAAGTGATCAGAGGCCTGCCCACACCTGTGCCTCTTGCTTTGCACAGCCTCCTCACTTCCCGCCCCTTACCTGGGTCATTTTGTCCACAGAGACCGGAATCCCATCGATGGTGAGAGGCGGCAGTTCTGAGTTAACCTCCTGTGGCGCAGGGGCGTGTTCTGCCAGAGCAGACTCCAAGTCTTCCAGGATCATGCTCTTGTACTTTCGCACCTGCAGGGAATTAAGGGCAGAAGTAAACAAGATGCTCAACAACCAGGGAGGACTAGTGCCAACCAACAAGAGAGTGGGTGGAGCTGGCCTCCCTGAGCCACACCAGAGCCCTTCGAACAAACACTGAACAGAATTAAGTGAAAAGATGATGAAATTGAAAGTAACGACAGCAAAAAGGAGCTAATAGAAAAAGTTTTATGGAAATACTCCTTCTCAGTTAAAATCGCATTTTCTCAGTCAACAAAGTTGTGTCGCTTGCTCCAGAACAAAAAAAGAATGGCATTCATTATTCTGCATTTCCCAGACAAGCAATGTCCCAGGCCACACCTAGCTGTGGCAGTTAATTGTCAAGATAATTTCAAGTTTCTCAAGAACTTATGTCTCTAAAACCTACTCAAAACTGTTGCTCCTTTGCTGGAAAGCCAGACACCACATAGAAAGGAGATTCAAGTGCACAAGAGGCTGGACTGAAAAGGATCAGAGATTAAAAAAAAAAAAAAAAAAAGAGGCATTCATTGTAGCTAAGTGTCAAAGTACAAGTACCAGGGCCAGAGAGTGTCCCATAGGTCAAACCCTCCTCTCTTCAGGTACTCCCCAGTGAACTTCAAAGCCATGATGCCCCTGTAGAACTAGCCCAGATGTGAACCAGACAGCGTTGTTCCTCATTTCCATTCCCCCCAGTACGGGGAAAGGTCTCTCAAAAGCAGAGAACCTCTCAGCAACACAGTGTACATGCCATGTTCTTCTACCATGAGCAGGAAGGGGAAGTAGATACTGGGTCTTATGATAGCCAATAATGGGTTCATTCACTTAGAAGAATACACAAGGGAAATGAGGATAATAAAGAAGGCATAGAGTTATGGAACTATGACAGAAGATGGGATGGGAATTGCTTTCAGGGCTCAAGGCATTATCCTCCCCTTCTCCCCCCTCAAAAAAAAAAAAAAAGACAGAGGAGGAGGAGAAAATAAGGTTTGCCTGGGTTTTCTGCTAAATGGACTCAACTATCAGTCAAGACACTTCTTTACTGGTATCTTATTATGAGAATTAAAAAAGATTCCCACACTCTACCCTAAGCATCTGGAAAAGTAAGTATTATTATTAAGCAGTCCAACTTCTGCAGTTATACAATCCTCCAAATTGGTCTATAACTGAGGAAATGAAAGAAACATAGTATAAGCTTGGAGACTCATTATCACTCTATAGTTTCAGTTTTATCCTGGTTTCTACTAGAAAAAATAGTTTCAAAAACTATAGCTAGTAAATTTATTGTAAAATAAGCAGCTGGTGTTGCAAGGCAAGTATACAGGATTGTATTTTCTGTTTTCTATGTTTTTATGCTACCAACCCACAGAAAAAAACAATCTTAAAAGTCTGGGTTTTAGTTTTGGAACTTCAATGTATCAAGTTAAATCCTTAGATGGAAGACTACAGTGAGAATAAATGATAATAGTATAAAAACACATTTCACTGTGCTGGTAACAGCTGACACTCAAAGATGGGAAAACATTAGGTTGTTACTATTACTATTAACTGGCTAATTCCAGTTTCAAATAATTTCAGCTGGGCTGGGGATGTGACTCAGTGGAAAAGCACTTGCCTAACATGCACAAGTCTCTGGGTTTGAGCTTCTCCGACAATGCAAAAAAAAAGCCAAACAATTTCAGCCATTTTTATGGATCAGTAAAATTTAAAGTTCAGAAGCTAGTAAACTGCTATACTCATCTGTGTTATGTAATCCCTTTAAAAATCCTGATTAAAAAAAATGCTGGTAGTGCATGCCTCACAGTAATTTGCAAGAAAGTAACTTTAGGCACGATCACAGCACTGCTGTCCAAGCTTGCTTAGAAAAATAGTTTTCCCAGGATTATGAGCTAGTGTTTCAGTTTTATATGATCTCTCATTCTGAGATGCATTCCCCTCCACATTTACCAGTCCTCTGAAATCGGTGTACAACTTAAAATTGCTGTGAACCAGGCAACACAGCATATGTTTGTCACTCCTGTACATTTGTGCACGTGGTTGCTAACCTCTGGCACACAGTCAGCAAATCATTAGCACCATCTGAGAAAGGAATGGAAGTCCTGGCTACCTTCTGATAAGCTTACCATGACACTTTCTGCTAAGATCAGAAAAAACCTGCTTCAATTGTGTGGCAACTTGGGAAAACTGTTTCTCAGACACAATCTCTTTTTAAAGAAATAGAGCAATGCCCGTGCTGTTGCTACCATAGAGGACAGTACTACACCAGAAATAAAAACAATCACAAGAATGACCAAAAGGAGAAGTAATTCAAAAGAATTTGACTCACTGTGAAGAAATTTCAGTAATATTTTATTATGCCATACAAAAAAGTGATGTGATTAAAAGTGATGTCCAAAACGACAGTGGTCAATATGGGAAGGTGACCGGGAAGTAGTGAAGAGGTCAGGTAGAGATGAACCAATTCGGGTTGTAATACACATGTGCATGGAAGCAATACTAGGAATCTCTCTGTATAGCTATCATCATCTCAACTAGCAAAACCGCTATGTCTTTCTTATTATTGCTTATGTCTTCTCTTCAACAAAATTGGAGAAGAGGGCAGAACAGGTTCTGCCTGGAAGCGAGGGCGGGGGGGAAGAGTGAGGGGGCAGGGGGCAGGGGGAGAAATAGCCCAAACAATGTATGCACATATGAATAAATGAATAAAGAAAAAAAAAAAGCGATAACCAAGAAAGACTGAAAATGCTCTTCTAGTAAGTCCACAATAAAAATTCTAAGTGATAGCATTGTGTCAGAATTTGTCAATGTTTGTTTCTCTGGGTGGCACACAGACAATGGTGCAGCTTATAATGATGTGACAGAATGAAACACAGTTCATCCGGTGTTTCATCTTTTGCCTTCTATTTAAGTCTCTGTCACTTCACAGCAATGTCAACTTATTTCACATTTAAAGGCAAAAACCATTTAAAATAAAATCACCTACCAATCTCTTCCAATTCATCCTGTATATTTTAAATGCTATTTAAAATATCTGAAACACTTATCACCAGATACCATTTACTGAGCACTATGTCCCAAGCACTGCACACATTGTCTCAGTAACTCTTTAAGGAAAACACTATCATACCCACTTTGGAAATAAGAAAATTGAAGCTTAAAAAACTAAGGTAATGTCCTCCCATATCATACAAGTGGTAAGGAATATAGTTAGAAATCAAATTAATTTTTGTCTAGTTGCAAAATCTAAATGGTCAGACACTCCTACAGCTACCTACCTCTTGCCTCTGGAGCTGAGTAATTTCTATACCTGTTAAACTAACCAGTCATATCCACAAGGTCTCAACTAAATGCTATGGGTAACTGGCTCTGAGGAAATAATGTCACCCTCACAGCTGGCATGGTTCTTCTTGGGAAACTCTCTCTCTAGTCCTGAAGAAAATACTTTTAGGCCTATTCCTATGAAATTCAAAGAAGTATATGATGTGGCAGAAAGAGGAAAACAGAATGCACTCAAGAGCATAGCAACCTCTACCTCTTGTCCATGCTCCCAAATATTTTCTGTAGGATGAAGACAATCAGCTTTTAATTAATTTCTACTTTTCTCAGTGAGGAGGGTATTGGTATCCTTATTTTACACAGAGGACACTGAGTCACATATGGGAAAAATCAAGTGGAAAAATCATTGAAAAAACTCAGAACTTAGAAAGAGTTTTCCCCAAAGTGGAGCTTTTCTCTGCATATGCCCACTTCTGTAGGATAAGCCTGATTCTTTGGGCAGGACTAAACTAGCCTGTCTAGATTTTGACTGCTATGTTTTACTATGAGGACCAAAACTCAGAAGGACCAAAACTCTCTGTGGAAGTGTCCTGGAGGTCTTTTTAACGTGCTTTGTTTCAATGAGCAGAGGCTGAAGAAGACAAACTGCAGAGTACATGAGATTTACAAGTAGTGAACCTGGAGACCTGAATTTTTTTTTTTTTCATTTTTCTTTTATTATTCATATGTGCATACAAGGCTTGGTTCATTTCTCCCCCCTGCCCCCACCCCCTCCCTTACCACCCACTCCGCCCCCTCCCGCTCCCCCCCTCAATACCCCGCAGAAACTATTTTGCCCTTATCTCTAATTTTGTTGTAGAGAGAGTATAAGCAATAATAGGAAGGAACAAGGGGTTTTGCTGGTTGAGATAAGGATAGCTATACAGGGCATTGACTCACATTGATTTCCTGTGCGTGGGTGTTACCTTCTAGGTTAATTCTTTTTGATCTAACCTTTTCTCTAGCTCCTGGTCCCCTTTTCCTATTGGCCTCAGTTGCTTTAAGGTATCTGCTTTAGTTTCTCTGCATTAAGGGCAACAAATGCTAGCTAGTTTTTTAGGTGTCTTACCTATCCTCACCCCTCCCTTGTGTGCTCTCGCTTTTATCCTGTGCTCATAGTCCAATCCCCTTGTTGTGTTTGCCCTTGATCTAATGTCCGCATATGAGGGAGAACATACGATTTTTGGTCTTTTGAGCCAGGCTAACCTCACTCAGAATGATGTTCTCCAATTCCATCCATTTACCAGCGAATGATAACATTTCGTTCTTCTTCATGGCTGCATAAAATTCCATTGTGTATAGATACCACATTTTCTTAATCCATTCGTCAGTGCTGGGGCATCTTGGCTGTTTCCATAACTTGGCTATTGTGAATAGTGCCGCAATAAACATGGATGTGCAGGTGCCTCTGGAGTAACAGTCTTTTGGGTATATCCCCAAGAGTGGTATTGCTGGATCAAATGGTAATGAGTAAAGTTTACCTAGTTTTGATTTATTTTCTCACTACCCCATGTTCAAATGTAGACATGACATACATAGCCCATGAACCTGGTAGCTCCTCCAACCTCCCATGTATCCGACAAATATTCCTTATTTATTTACCATATGCTAGGCACTTGCTAAGGAAGAACTGGGGACAAAATGGTAACCAAATTATTAGTCACAGTATCCCATTATTGTGTAATTCTAGTCTAATGGGGAGACAAACAAAAATAATTACAAAGGTAAGCATCTAATTACAAACTGGGAAAAGTACTATAAAAATGACACAATGGAACTTCTCAGATCTTTTTATTTCTAAGGTCTCAATTTAGATCCAAAGTAGGATTAGGATAAAGAAGTCAAATCTGCATTTTCAACTTTCCAAGTACTGTCAACCATCCAAAATGCTTGACTCACTTAGCAAGTATTACTGAGCATCTATGGGAGCGAGGGCAAGGGCAGTGCTTGGCAACAGGAAAGCAAATCAGTCCAGGTCCCTACCCTCTTGGAACTTCCCATCCAGCAGAGTACAGACATTAATAAAATAACCATACACAGGTAGTAAGTGTTCCAAGGTGCTATGAGTCTTAGATAGAAGAGGGGGCTTTGAGGTGTTCAGGGATGTCAGGGAAAGCTTCAGGAGGAGGCGTAGTCTGAACTAAGTCTTAACAGGAATAAAAGTTGTTGGTAAGGCGTGGAAGTTGGTGAGAGAGAGGGAAAGAGAGAGGGAGGCAAGCACACACTCAAAAGCCTGGGGAGGGGAGAGGCGGAGCTGTGCAGGTGATAAACATGGACTTTCTACAGCTGAAGTCAAGGAAAGAACCCTTAAACTGAAAGGGGAACTAGACGGCCCCAGATGTGGCTAGGGTAGTAGCAGTGGAAGTGGAGAAAAGAGGGCTGATCTGACGTATTTGGTAAATGGATGGGCTGTGGTTGGAGCAGAGGAAGGAGAGTGCCAAAAGCATCCATGTTCCAGCCTTGCACAACTGAATGAGGGGATAGATCCTGGAAGGAGACCTTAATTTGGAAGTGGAGGCGATTGAAAGTTAGTATTGCATGTGCTGGGTTGCAACTAAGAAAAGATTTTTTTTTGTCTCCCTCTCTCTCTCTTTTTGTTTCTTGGCAGCACTGGGGTTTATACTCAGGGCCTCAGGCTTGCTAGGCAGGTGCTCTACCACTTGAGCCACGCCACCAGCCCTTTTGTGTGTTTGGGTATTTTTGAGATAGGGTCTTGAAAACTATTTGCTCAGGCAGGCCTCCAAACTTGATCCTCCTAATCTTTGCCTCAGAAGTTCAGCTAGGATTACAGGTGTGTACCACTGGTACATGGCTAAAATTTTTCTATTTGTTGGTCTCTTTCAGTCAAAATATTTTATTTTAATTTTTTTATTTGGCTCAGGACATATTCATATAAGTATTTTTGAGTTATTTATATCTCTGATACATAGACATAACTTATCTTACCCTGGCTCTACTAAGCAGCAGTTGGGAAACTTTGGGCAAATCACTTAATCTCTCTAAGCTAGCCTCTCATTTGTAAATGATGGTAGTAATGATAAAGCTACCCCTCAAGGTTCCTGTCAGAATTACTGAGACACATGTAGCTCACAGTTCTTAGCTTGCTATATTACACAAGTGTCAGTTACAGCAATTCTTGATATGCCACAATTTCACAAACATGTAGGTGCACAGATTTTTTTCTTAACTTCTTTGTGGTACTGAGGGATTGAACTCAGAGTTTCTTGAGCTATGTCCCAGGCCCAGATTTACTTTTAAAGTAAGATTAGACTCTACATGTAGTTCTTTTTTTGTGTGTGTGTGGTACTAGGGCTTGAACTCAGGGCCTACACCTTGAAGCCACTCCACCAGCCCTTTTTTGTGATGGATTGTTTTCAAGATAGAGTCTTGGAAATATTTTCCTGGGCTGGCCTCGAACTAGCACCTGGCTTATGCACTTTTTAAAAAAATATCAGTTGCCAACTGTACTGTGAAAATTATACCGATTTAAGCAGTCTGATAAGCCAATACTGTAGGTTATCCATGTTTGCTAACATGAGCCATGCAAGATGGCTTTTGTTTTAATCTGCAGTTCTTTAAAGTTTTTGTATTTATTAATCATTTGTATTTCTTCTTTTTTTCAGTGCTGAGGTATGAACTCAGGGCTTTGCACTTGGCCTAGCAAGTGCTTTACCATTTGAGCCATACCCTCAGCCCTTCTAGCTTTAGTTATTCTCAGATAAGGGCTCATGCTTTCTACCTGGGCTGGCCTTGAACTACAATCCTCCTACCTATGCCTCCCATATACCTGGGATTATAGACATGAACACTACGTCCAGCTTATTTATTGCAAGACAGTCTCGATAACTTTTTGCCTGGGCTGGCCTTGAACCATGACTCAATCTCCACCCTCCTGAGTAGCTGGGATTAGAGGCATGACCTACCATGTTGATACAAGATTTTTTTTTTTTAATCAGATATATAATTTGTGAATACTTTCTCCCATTCTGTGGGTTGTCTTTTATTTTCTTCATGGTATAATTTGAAGCTACTTTTAATAGGAAATAGTACTCATCCTTTTAGTTTTGATCTTTATAAAGTGGTTTGAAAATCAGTCCGTGCCTTCCATCCCTGCATTAGGGCAAGATAGGAGTGCTAACTATCGTACGGAAAAGAGGACCATAAGGCTATAAGTCCCACCAAGCAAAGGGTCCCTGAAAATATAGCTTAGCTCCGACTTACCACATTCTCCAAAGGTGCTGCGCCAAACACTTTAAAGACAGGGTTGGGTTTGGAAGGGGAGATACAGAGCACAATAGCTTGCTGTCCCACACGAGTTGTATATTCATCTAACGTGGCTCGAAGTTTCCTGAGTCAGCATGAAAAGAGAATAAAACAGTTATAGACAATAGATATTACAGTGACACACACGAAGATCAAACTTACTTTGACTTAAGACAATTCAAATCAGATATTTGTTCTTTTAACAAAAATGTGGAAAGGGGAGTATAAGGTATGAAATCCTGTTCAGCAGAAACACGTCTTTCTCTTAATGATCAATGACTAGTCCATCAACACAGGGGTCTAATGAGGATTATGCCTTGGGATACAGTCTTGACAATTTTGAACACAGAAAGTATCAATCCTTTCCCAAACTTACTAACAGTTACTGCTACTTACAACTATAAGGATTACTGCTAAGCTGTCCTCTTAGATTTTATTATATCATCACCATGATTAACAAAAGGGATCAAATGACTTGCTTCTAATTTCTTCTATTGATAAATCATTGTTTATTTCTCAGTGATAGAATTTTATCCAAAAATACTACTTCAAAAATGTGGCTTCAACTTAGATACTGATGGCTGACACCTGTAATCCTGGCTACTTGGGAGGCTAAGAGAGGGAGGACAGCAGTTTAAGGCCAACCCAGGCGAAAAAGTTAGTAAGAGCCCATGTCAAGGGAAAAAACTTAAGTGTGCTGGTGTGAGTCTGTCATCCAGCAAGAGCTAGAAGTCTAAAATAGGAGGACTGAGATCCAGGCTGGCCTAGGCAAAAAGCAAGACCCTGTCTTACAAAATAACCAGAGTAAAAACGGTTGGTGGCATGGCTCAAGCAGTAAAGCACCCAAGTTCAACCCCAGTACCACCACCAAAAGAATCCATAAAAATTGTAGTCCTTCCCTTACAAGACCCCCACTGGATGCCTAAAACTTTAGCTAGTACCAAACCCTACATATGCTATGTTTTTTTTTTTTTCCCTACACATACATACTGAAGATAAGGTTTAATTTGTACACTAGGCATAGTAGACCAGCTCTCTGTTCTTCTCTTTCACCCTCACTAGTCCTTTGAAAACACTTTTGTCAAGCTCAATCATGTTGCTAAATCTTATGGTCAACTGTATCTTATTCAACCTTATTCGACAGGACTGATCGTATGTTCTGGTTTTGAAACACTTTTTTTGCAGTAGTGGGGTTTGAACTTAGGGCCTCACATATGTCAGGCAGGTGCTCTACCACTGCAGTCACTACACCAGCCCTTTTTTATTGCGTTATTTTTTGGGATAGGGTATAGCTTTTATGCCCAGCAGCCTGGACCAGGACCCCTTATTTGTGCTTCTCTGGGTGGCTGGGGTGACAGGCGCATGCCTCCACACCCCGTCATTGGTTAAGATTGCCCAGCTGTCCTTGAAGCACAATCTTCCTGATCTCTGTCTCCTGAATAGCTAGGATTACAGGTGTGAGCCACCATACCTGCCTTGAAACACTTTTTTGTACTTGGTTTCCATGATACCACTCTACTGGTTTTCTCCTCTTTCACTGATTGCTTCCTAGACTCCCTTGCTGGTTTTCCTTTCATCTCTCCAAAGTCTAAAGGATGGAGTGGCTCAGGCCTCCACATATACTACTCTCTGTGACCTCACCTAGTCATATAGTTTTAAATACTACCTATATAATCTTCTCAGCCAAGAACTTTCTTTTGAATTCCAGACTTGTATAGCCACCTGCTTATTCTATACCACCACTTACTGATGAAGAGATATCAAAATCTTAACATGTTTCAAACCAAAGTCCTGATTCTATCCTACCTTCACTCCCATTCCTGTTCCTCCCCCAGCAATGCCTCTAGTAATCAGACCAAAAGTCATGAGGTTACTTTTCACTCCTTTTATCTCTCACTCTCCATGTCCAATCCATCAAGGAACCCAGAACCCGACCACTTCTTATTACCTCTGCTGCTGCCACATTGGTTTTAAGACACTATCTATCATCTCTGGCTTAGATTACTATAATCACCTCTCAATTATTCTCCATATCCACTGGTACCCCTAGAGTCTTCTCAATTTAGTAGCATGGGTGATTCTTTATAAACTCAGAAGTCTGAATGTATCACTGCTCTGGTCAAAAGCCTTCACTGACTTTCTCACTCAGAGGACCAGTCATCTTATTAGAAGATAAGATCTCTTGACTAAGGCTCTCCCCTACGACTCTGACCACATCCTCTCATGTTCTTCCTGGTTGTCCCTCTGACATGGCTACCATTCCCACCTCAAAGTCTTGGCTCTTTTTAACAGTCCTTGCCTGAACATGCTCTTCCCCTAAACACCAACATGGTCACTCTTTCAGTTCCTTTAGGTCTCTGTTCAAAGACTGCCTTATACAAAAGGATTCCTCAGACCATCCTATAAAGAGAGAACTACTATGTCCCCCACAGCTCCTGACTTGTCTCCTGACTTATTTTCTTGGGGATTGAACTTAGGACCTCATACTTGCTAGGCAGGTACTCTACAAATGAGCCACTCTGCCAACATGATAGATTTTCTTCATTCTACTTTATTTTCCCTCACACTCATGTTATCATCTACTACACTGTAGATTTGTTTTCTTCCCCCCCTCTCAGAATAGAAGTTCTTTAGGAGAATTTGTTGTTCATTTATACTCCCAATGATTAGAACACTGCCTGGCACACAGCAGGCATACAATTTCTCTCTGAATGAGTTAATGTGAATTATACATCTGCTGAATCACATTTCTAAATTTTTCAGCTGTTTAATTTTGAGGGGACATTTTCAAGTAGAAATCAGTCATCAAGGTCTCTAACCCAGTGTCTTGGGGACCCTAGTAACATTATAACTCTGTCATCAACACACAAAGCACCTGAGAAGTATCAATGACAGGGCTAAGAGAACCCTCACCGAAGCAAACGTGTTTGCTGTCTCTTCCGGATGGATGGATTAGACTCAAACACGTGAGGCCGTTTCCGTTTCTTCCCCGTTGCCACAGCAGCAGCAGCAGCCATCCCCACAGGACCTGAAATAATAAGTATGTACTGAGATTAGGCAGGAGCCTGGAGCTGTACATGACAGAAAACAATCACAGGACAAAAGGTAGCACTTCTTTCCTAATACGTTTTCTGTGAATAGACTGTCTCTGGTATTACCAATATAGTTCACTATTTTTTCATATGAATTATTGTGATTTACCAATAAAACTTAAAACGCATCATTTAAAAAGAAAATGATTGTACTTTCCCACCACACACCACCTGAATTTTACGTAAAGCTGTTGCTTTGTTTTGCCAGCATGCCCATATTGTTAAGGCAATATTCTCAAAGGTGCTAGGAAAAATTGCACCATTTCGAGGAAGGCTTGCCAAAACTGAAACAAGCTACAGACTTCAAATTTCATTTCCATTCCTGTGCCCTCTTCCCATTCAAGACACTGCCAAGTTAAGAAACTTGGAGAGATTCACCCGCACTTGAAACTCCAGCAATACCACCTATAAGAAGAGTATCTGGAAGAATACTGATTTAATTGGAAAACAGTTCTTGTATATCTGGGAACTATGCCAAAAATGGAAATGCTGACCACAAGGTCAAGTTGATGAAAGCACTCTGGCAGAAAAGAGATGAAAACTTTCCTACTCTAAGGAGAAAATGCTAATAAAAGTTGGTCTGACTTGCCCTCAAACTAATGTATGATGGTCTTATTTTCTGTAAAGGGTATTTGGAGGATAACTCTAAGGTACTACTGGAATCTCTGATATCCAGGATTCAACACATCAAAGACAATTCTTTTTTTTTCTTTTTAAGAAGGCAATCTGTCTTTATCCTTAAAAAGCTTAAATGAGCAGGGTACAGTGGCTCACATCTATAATGCTAGCTACTCAGGAGGTGGAGATTGGGAGGATCACAGTTCAAGGCCACCCCAGGCAAAAAGTTCACAAGATTCCATCTCAACCAATGGCTGGGTGTGGTGGCATGAGCCTTTCATCCCCAACTGTGTGAAGGAGCACAAACAGGAATGTCCAGTATTATCATGAAATACTGGACAACTTAGCAAAAACATCACTCTCAAGGTATTAATTATGTCTATAGACCATGTCCCTTAAGGTTTCAAAAAGAAAATAAAGGGATAAATGAAATTTGGCTTAAAAAGGAGTTCTCTAAAATTCATATTGGTGATTAGTACCAAAAAAGTTTACTACCTTGAGATTCTGTTTTTATTACCTGTTAATAAATAATAATAATGTAGTTACCTGTTAACTACATTTTGTGGTACTACTTCTCAACTATTTTGCCTTGAAAAATCAACAATAATAGGTGTTGTTGGGCCTGCAGAAAATTAGAATCATTTTTGAGGGACAAAATAGTATGGCAAATGGTCATTTGCCTTTTCTGGGTTACATTTCGGATATGATGAGTGCTACAGACCTACTCCTCAGAACAATCTTCTAGCTAGTATTAAGTGGAGTTAGGAGTCAAAGAGAAACCCAGGCCCTCTTCTGCCTCTGCAAATCCTTTACCATCCGCAGCCCCTGAGGCCTGTGTTGTTTGACTTATGAGCTAGCTCTCTTGTATCATTTTCTCTTCTTCCTCACAAAGCTCAACTGTACTGCCCTCCTTCCTAATTCCCATCTGCAAGTCCTTGTTGTGGAAATGCACTCTCCTTGGCATTTCTCTGTGCCAACACCCTTTACTGCCTGTCAGTAGCAACTTACTTCGTCAGAGGAGACTTACCAGCCACTTAATCTGAAGTAGTGACCTTCCTTTCTCCATTACTTTACCTCAATATTTTCTTCAGAAAATTCTTTCTAGTCTGGGGATGCTCAGTGGCGCTTGCTATGCAAGCACCACACACACACACACACACACACACACACACACAGGAAATACTTTCTAAAATTATTCTAACTCCTTCTGGAGCAAGCTGTTGCTGTTTTATTCACAGAATCTATACCTAGTCATATATACAGTATCTTACAATTCCTTAATAATTGCTGAATGACAAATAATTTCTACTAGTTGGGCCTCAGTGTCCACATCAGCCACACAAAGGGGTCAGACAAAAGTCCTTTCCTGATTCTTTTTTTGAGATATTGCCCAAGCTGGTCTTGAACTCCTGGGCTTAAATTATTCTCCTTCTTCAGCCTCCTGAGTAGCTGGGACTGAAAGCATAGGTCACTGTACCCTGCTCTGATCTTTCTGGGGGCAGTGCTGGGGATCAAACACACGCTAGGCAAGCACCCTAACCCTGAGCTACAACCCCAGCCACCACACTTACACACAAAGCCAGGTCTCAAAAGTACCTTTCTGCACAGGATATTCATTATGTTAGCACGCCCTCTTCTGGGAAGTTTAGAAATTTCAAAAACATGCTACAAACATTTCCTGTGTGTTTTTCCACTAAGCCTTAATTTTACATTCACGATTCCAAAAATAACACTGTGGGTAATAAATGACAGAAAGATTAATCCTCATTGCATCTGTCTTCTTCCCCTAAAACACAGCATATATTTTCAAAATTCTTCTAAGATCAATATTCCTTACACAAGACTAGACCCATAGTTTACATTTAGTCTTCTCATCTTGGTGTTAAATGTACAATATTAATTGGATGGTGCAAAATATAGTCCAGGGCCAGGGATATAGCTCAGTGATTAAGTGTTTCCTAGCATATCATGCATGAGGCCCTGATTTTACTCCTTACTACAAAAATAAATAAATAAAATTAAAAAATAAAATACACACACACACACTCACATCATTCAGTATCCCAGAAAAATCTCAAAACCTTAAATTGGATTAAGATGGTTCAGGACTGCTCTAGTGCCTTCAGGCATGCGGCAGAAGCAAACAAAAATCATCTCTCTATAGGAAAATAACATTATTTGTAAAAGTAATTTTCCAAATACATCATCCAACATGTATTCAAATATAACCAGCATATGAAGAGAATAGCCACCATGAACAGGAAATGGCACTAATAACATATAACAGAGACAGACCCACAGGCACTTTACAAAGTTCCATTATCAGATGAACTGTAAAATTGTAATGTTTACTCATGGAGATCTAAAAAAAAAAATGGTTTTCACGAAACCTGGAAAAGGTTAGAGTGCAAATCTGAGGGGGGTGGAAAAAAAAAAACCCATACTAGAAATTCTTGGACTAGGAGGTATAGCTCAGTGGTAGAGCACTGGCCTAGTATACGCAAAGCCTTGGGTTTGGTCCCTAGCAGAGCAGAACAAAATAAAACAAAACAAATTAACAATCTTTTTTTTTTTAAATTCAATGTAAATATATAAGTTTTTATACTTAATGTAAATGAAATAGCTACTTCAGTTGAAAGCCGAAAGAAGCAGGCATGGGGGAACACATCTGTAATTCCAGACCTCAATAGGCTAAGGCAGGAGGATCACAAGTTCAAGGCCAGCCTGGGCTATATAGCAAGACCCTGTCCCAAAGACAAAACAAGACCAAAAAACCCAGGCACAATGGACCAGACAATAAAACCAAAGTCTTAACACTAATAGTAAATGACCAGAGAATTCAAGTCTCAGAACAATACAGGATCAAGTTGGAAATGCAAGTCTTAAAAAAGTGTGATGAGTGGCTAGGGATGAAGCTCAGTGGTTCAGTACTTGACTAGCATGTTCGGGGCCTGGATTTGATCCCCAGCCCTGCAAAAACAAAAGTGGTGAAAATAACTTGAGAGTGCCTAAATTCAAGGCTCTTTCCGAGAGTCACGGTACTTCAATTTGAGCCAAGCAAGAAGAGTTTCCTGTTCATACAGTACCTGCAGCAGCCAGATGGGCTGTTACCTCATCAGCCGCAGTGGAGTTCAGTATGTCTGAGTCATCGTACGAGGTGTCCTCAGGAGAGGACGGCGAGTCTTCGTCAGCGCTCAGCATGCTGTGCTCGGTGTAGGTGGCCACGTGGACCTGCTGCACCTGCTGAGCCACTGCATGGGCCTCGATGGCAGCCATGTGCTCAGGCTGGGTCACTCCGTGTTCCTCCATGAAGAGCCACTGCCAGAAACGGGGAAGAACAAGACTCAGGGTAACGTGACACAGTGCTTAAATGACAAGATACTTTTTTCAAGGACACAGCAACTTTGACGAACCTCTGATTTTACTCCTTACCTTACTACACCAAAGCATGGGAAGCAGGAAGCACAATCCAAATATGACTTAAAAAGGAATGTTTTCCTTATGTGAAACCATTTTGATGGAAAGTCAGTGTCAATCTTACATACCCTCAGTCACAACACATTACATATCCTTGACATATATAACAATAAGACGTTTAAATGTAGCAATAAAAAGACACTTAAATGTCCTAGTGACTAGCAATTGATATTGCAGACATAAAAACACTTAGTAAGTGACATACTAAACATTTTCTTCATATTTCAAAGACAAGTGGGAGTTAAACGTTTTTTTTCCCACCAAAATACAATTATTCAAATTTGTTTTCTGCCTACAAAACTGCTTCTTGTAAGCCCCAATTTGATGCAGTAATTTATAAAGCAGTAAGTTAAAAGCTTGCTTGCTTAGCACAATCTCCTCTCCTTCTCCAGAAGTTCATTATTTTTGAAAAAATTGAGCATATGTACATATAGATTTAAAACAAAGACAGGTTCATATTATACATATTGTTTCTTTCTCATATATTTCTCAATACATCCAGACATTTTGATATGTTAAAAACATACAGACCTGCCATATCCCTTTAAAAGAGCTACAGTACGCTTCACTGTATGGATAAACCATAATTTATGTAACCAATCACCTACTGATGAAGCAAGGCTGCTTCCAAATTTTTGCTGTTATAAACATCAGTGCAGTGAACATCTGTGTATATAAAATTTTGTATATTAGTTCCTTAAAAAATTTTAAATAGAACTACTATATGATCCGGCAATTCCACTTCTGGTACTTACCCAGAAGAATTGAAAGCAGGGTCTCAAACAGACACGTGCACACCCATGTTCATAGCAGCATTATTCACAATAGCCAAAAGGTGGAAGCTACCCAAGTGTCCATCAATGGGTGAATGGGAAACAAAATGTGGTACATATGTACCACATATTACTCTGCCTTAAAAAGGAAAAAAAATGCAAATTAGGAATAAAGGGGAAATTCCTCAAGTTGATAAGAACATCTACAAAAACCTACAGCTAGCATTATACTTAATGGTGAGAAACTAGTAACTTTTCCATTAAAATCAGGAGCAAGACAAAGACATCTCCTCTCACCATTTCTTTCAACATTGTACTGGAAGCCCTAGCTGATGCAGTAAGACTAAATAAATAAATAAAACCCTGATTGGGAAGAAAGAAACAGAACTGTCTTTGTTAATACATGGCATGACTGTCTATGCAGAACATCTAAAATAATCAATCAAAAACCTCCTGGAACTAATATGCAATTATACCAAGACTGCAGGACAAAAGTTTCAGTTGGACTGGTCTGAGATTTGTAAAGCACACCTCTGGGTATGTCTGGGAGGGATTTCCAGGGACAATTAGATAGGACTCTGACCTAATCAATGGATTCATCCCTTGATGGTTTCACAATCAGATGGAATTATGGCAAGTTGGTGAAAGTAGGAGATAGGGCTAGTTGGAAGTAGGTCCTTGGGGACTCTCTCTTGCTCTGGCCCCTTCCTATATCCTCTCTTTCTGCTTCCTGATTGCCATGATGTGAACTGTTCTGTTCCACATTCCCCTCCCAGCCATGATGAACTAAAATTTCTAAATCATGCCTCCCTTAAATTGTTTCTGTCATAGCAATGATATAACAATGTTATCCATGTATAAAACAACCTCACTGGAGATGCAAGATTAAAGGCATCTTTAAATAAATAAATGCCAGTGTTATGAAACAGCAAGGAACAAGTGAGATTTAACAGTACAACATAATACCATTTACCTTAGCACCCCCCCCCAAAATACTAAGTTATAAATCTAACAAAATATGTACGATATCTATGTGAAGGGGGGAGGGGCAAGAGTGAGCAGTGAGGGGGATGAATATACCCAAAGTACATTACACACATGTATGAAAATGTAAAAACAACAACTGTATGCTAAGATCCATGGTAAAAACAAGCTATTATCCATGAAGTTGGGGAAGAAGAAATTCATGCTAATTTGCTATTGTACCTCAAACTACAAGTTATGGCCACGGTGTGTGATAAGTGCTTAGTTTTATGGTTTGGTACTATCCACAGTTTCAGGCATCCAATTGGGGTCTTGGAAGATATCCCCTGCAAAAAATGGGAGACCTGTAAATTATTTTCTTTTTCAAATTTATTTATCTTAAATTGACATACAATTGTATATATTTATCATGTACAACATGATGTTTTGAAGTATATATATATATACTGTGGAATGGTTACATCTAGCTAATTAAAATATGTATTACCTCACACAGTTATCATAATGGGAGTGAAAACATTTAACTCCATTCTTTTAGCATTTTCCAACAATACTATATATTGTCATTAACTATAGTTATCATGCTGTAAAATAAATCCCGTTAACTATTTTTCCTAAAAGAAAAAAAAGACCTAGGAGGAAAATCACAAAATTCTGATGAAAGAAATCAAAGGACTGAGTACTTAAGAGATATTCCATGTTTACTGATAAAAAGACTCGATTCTGTCAGCATGTCACTTTTTCCAATTTCGTCTCTAGATTCAACAATATCGCAATCAAAATCTCAGGCAAAATGATGTTAAAGTTGATATGGACAGGCAAGAGACTCAGACTAGCCGACAGAATATTGAAGAACAACCACGGAAGAGGACAGACACTGGCTCACTTGAGGACTTACTATAAGCCTACAGTAATCAGGACACTGTATACTGGCAAAATAACAACTAGGTCAATGGAACAGAACAAGAGTGCCCAGAAATAGATTCACATAAATAGAATCAGCTGACCTTTGACTGAGGAGAAAGTCAAAATGAAAGCTTTTTAAAAAATGGGTGCTGGAACAAATGTATACCCACACATTAAAAAGTTAATCTAGATACAGACTTGTTTGTATTTTTTTAAATGGAGTCCCACTAGGTTGCCCAGGCTGCCCTCACACCTATGGACTCCAGCAATAGTCACTTAAGTATCTGAGACTACATGGACAGACAACCAAGTTGGGCTACACCTTGCATTCGTCACAACAATAAAGTGGATCATAGACCTAAATGTAAAATGAAAAACAATAAAAGTCCTAGAAGATAACATAAAAGAAAATCTACATAACCTTGGGTATGCCAATGACTTTTTAAATACAATGACAAAGTCAGGATCCCTAAAAGAAATAACTGGTAAGCTGGACTTCATTAAAATGAAAACCTTTGCTCTAATCCTAGCTACTCAGGAGGCAGACATCACGGGGATCGTGGTTCAAAGCCAGCACCGGACAAGTAGTTTGTGAGACCCTATCTCAAAAAAAAAAAACTCATCACAAAAAAGGGCTGGTAGAGTGGCTCAAGGTATAGACCTTGAGTTCAAACCCCATACCACAAAAAACAAACAAACAAAAAAGACATTGTCAAGAGAATGAGGAGTCAAATCCAAAGACCAGGAGGACATACTTTCAAAAAGACATATCTGATAAAGGACTTTCATATGAAATAAAGAATTCTTAAAACTTAACAAGAAAACAACCAACCAAACTAAAAAATGGACAAAAGACCTGAAGCAGTATCTCATCAAAGAAGATATAGAGATAGTAAATAAGCTATGAAAAAATGTTCAACACTATATGCCATTACAGAAATGCATATTAAAACAACAGTAAGAAACCATCCTGCCTATTAGAATGGGTAAAACCAAAAACACTGTAATACTAAATGCTGTCGAGGATATGGAGTGGGGATTCTCGCTCACTGCTGGGTACAGTCGCTTTCAAAAACAGTTTGGCAGTTCCTTATAAAACTGAACACACTCTTACCGCATGATCCAGCAATTGCACTCCTTAGTATTTACCCAAAGGAGTTGACAACTTAAGTCTATACAAAAACCGCTATGTGGGCAGTTATAGCAGTTTTATTTGCAATTACCAGAACTCAGAAGCTACCAAGATGTAAGTATATGGGAAATTTCTATGCCTTCCATTCAGTTTTGCTGTAAACTTGATTGAAACTACTCTAAAAAGTCTTTTATAAGAAAGGAAATTCTGATACATGCTATAACATGGGTGAGCCTTGAGGATATTTTTCTCAGTGACACAGCCACTCACAAAGGCAAATACTGTATGATTCCACTTATCTGAGATAATTAGAGTAGTCGTCAGAGACTGAGGGGAATGAGGAACCGTGTCATAGGTACTATTTCAAGATTGAAAAGAGACTGGAGGTGTGACTCAAGCCATAGAGGGCCTCAAAGCCCTGAGTTCAAACTCCAGTCCTACTCTCTCCCCAAAAGAGATGAAAAAGAGTTCTGGAGACTGGATGCACAACAATATGAATATACTTAACACACCTAACCACAACTGGAAAAATTTTTCTTTAATTCATCTATTCACATGTGCATACATTGTTTGGATCATTTCTCCCCCCTCCCCCCAGTCCCCACCATCTCCATGGAAAAAAATTTTTAAATTATTCTCTTATACCAGTGTAACTCTGCACAAAGAGTAAGTAGTGAGTAATCTTAGAGCAGAATAATAAAACTAGCTTATGCCGGTACTGGGGTTTGAACTCAGGCTATTTACTGCTTAAGCTATGTCCCAGTCCTTTTTGCTTCTCCCCCATCTTCACCCCAGACAGGGTCTGGCTCTCAAACTTCTGATCTTCCTGCCGCCACCTCCTAAATGCTGGGTTTACAGGCATGCACCACCATGCCTAGCTTTAACTTTCACATCTTTGCCAGCCTTCAGCTTCCCTCACCTTCTCTTCAAGTGAAGCTCAGTCATCTGATCTCAAATACCTTTAGGAGATATAATCCCTGTGGGTGGAAAGAGTAAACAGGCTGGGATTTCAAGAGTCTGAACTAGTGATTTTGAGCATACTGGTTCTATTTCCAACTCAGTAAATTTAATGTAAAACATGTCTCTCAAGTGTTAAAAGGACTACTTGAGGTAATAGAAAAATTTGGAAACTTACCTGGCAGATAGAAAATATACAACAAATTTATTATTTTTAAAAAGACATAGGGGCTGAAGGAGTGGCTCAACTCATAGAGTGCTTGCCTAGCAAGTGTGAGGCTCTGAGTTCAAACCCTAGTACCGCCAAAAAAAAAGCCATAACTGACCCCACTGTAGGGGTGATCTAATGTACAATATAAGCCTATTTGGAATTGTCACAATGAATCCCCCTCCCATAATGAATACATCCTAATTAAAAAAAAAAATAAAGTTCCTCATAATCCAAAAAAGACATAATATTTACATTTAATACCCTTTCCTTTTTCATCATCCTACCGGACTGATCTATTGATCCAAGAATTGCTGTTTCTCTTGTAAGGGTAAATTTTCAATCTAACACTTGGTTCTCTTCAGGACAAAAGTTCCATTCTCCTACATACTTTCCAACTTGTCAAGACCAGGTGCCGGTCTGGGCTCCAGTGGCTGACGCCTGTAATCCTACTTACTCAGGAGGCAGAGATCAGGATATGTTGCCAGCCCCAGGCAACATATCTCAAAAATACCTAACACAAAAAAAGGCTGCTGGAGTAACTCAAGCAGTAGAGCACTTGCCTAGCAAGTATGAGGCCCTGAGTTCAACGTTTTACCACCAAGGGGGGTGGAAAGAAAGAATTCTTGATGACAAACTGCTGGACTGGCATACCTATTTACATATACATATATATATATGTATTTTAAGTTTTGATCCATATTGAAAAGTTGAGTGTTTAGCTTGTATATTAACATTACTTCTCCTTGTATAAAACCACATAAAACACACAAATTTGAAATTTGACTATTATAATAAATATACAGCAGAACATGTGTAGAGTTTACCAAAAGAAACTGCTGCCATATGGATATAGAAATGAGGCTTTTATGGCTATGTGTAAAAAGAACATGATTCTCTTTTCACACAAAGTTCATCTCACTTCCACTCTGCACTACCGTAAAGTCTCATTTGCCATCCTCCAGGGCCTCTCGTATCCTTTGCTTCTCTTAGTAACTGCTCACGCCTCATCCTGGACACTTTCTTCTTTGTGTTTACTATCTCTATGGCATGATCAGATTCTTACTTTTCTGAGACTTATTCTTGTGCTATTTCCATTCTTTGTTTTGTTCCACCTTCTTTTGTTTAGTTTTGTTTTGTATTTTTGAGATAGGCTCTCACTATGTAGCCCAGGTTGGCCTCAAACTTGTGATCCTCCTACTTCTGCCTCCCTGAGTGCTGGGATTATGGGTAAGAGCCACCACGCCCAGTACTATTCTAACTTCATTGGTCTCTTTTCACTCATTTACCATTATTCATATGACAACTAATCTTTCTAATCCAGTAATTATTCACTTTGGCATTTTTTAATTATCCCAAGGAATATTCTGTATTTCAAAATAAATTCACTTTAATTAAAAAGATAAAAGGACCAAAGGTTGGCACAAATCCAAAAAGATTAAGGAATAACTCTGCTATCATTTGAATCTCTCTTCTGTACTTTATTTCCTGCTTGAGGTCAGGATCTCACACCTTTCTTTCTCTCAATGGAACTTTTTAAATGGTACCTGGTAAAGCAGTATGTATTTATTAAAGAGAAAAAAAAAAGTAAAATGATAAAAGTTGGAAGTATATGAGTATATGAGAATTCTTTGTACTAGTCTTTTACTTTTCTATGAGTCTGAAATTGTGGCATTTTTTTTTCATTTTTCTTTTATTATTCATATGTGCATACAAGGACTGGTTCATTTCTCCCCACTGCCCCCACCCCCTCCCTTACCACCCACTCCGCCCCCCTCCCTCTCCCCCCCCAATACCCAGCAGAAACTATTTTGCCCTTATTTCTAATCTTGTTGTAGAGAGAGTATAAGCAATGATAGGAAGGAACAAGAGTTTTTGCTGGTTGAGATAAGGATAGCTATACAGGGCATTGACTCACATTGATTTCCTGTGCGTGGGTATTACCTTCTAGGTTAATTCTTTTTGATCTAACCTTTTCTCTAGTACCTGTTCCCCTTTTCCTATTGGCCTCAGTTGCTTTGAGGTATCTGCTTTAGTTTCTCTGCGTTAAGGGCAACAAATGCTAGCTAGTTTTTTAGGTGTCTTACCTATCCTCACCCTCCCTTGTGTGCTCTCGCTTTTAT